GTCTTCATTTCAGCTTAAACAAAATGGGGTGAATGCTCTACTGGTAGTCTCGAAATCCTAATTAGAAGGTAAAAATAAGTGAGGTAGATACGAAGAGTAACTGTGTTTCGATGGATCTCCTGAAACCTTCATTTCCTATGAAAGTGCATGTTGAACGTGCTTATGCAGTTACGCAGTCTCGGCCAGGGCTTTTTCTTGGGTCGTTAAGCCTGGCATTAGCCTCTATTGTTGGGATTACTTCCATTTCGAGTAAAGGTGTTGGGTGAAGAGATTCGAAGGTCGGTTCCACCAGAAGACGACGGCGGATTTCTCTTGACTAGCTGTCGATTGGCTTCATGCTGACGCTGTTTCCAAGGCAATCTCCTTCGATTCCGGTGAACATGTGCTGAGCTTTTGTGCGTCAAATGACGGACATCATCAGAGCGAGGTAACATCGTCACTTGACTCGTAAGCTTGAATTTTGTTGTGATGATGATACCTTTCTCTGATAAGATTCATCATATGACGGACGAAAGCTGTCGATTAGCTTTACTGAAACAATCTTGTTAGCGAGATTTCTAGGCAGACCATTAACATCTCTCATATGACAGACATCATCAGAGCATCATCATCATCATCATCATTCTTACAACCATATTAAAGCTAGAGAGTCGAGAAGACTCATCTCTGAATGCTGTAAATATGGCCTATTTATATGCTATTTGATGAGTTATAAAGCCATTTGGTTAGCTCAAGTTATCTGTCGAACCGGAAGCATATGTGTGTGTGTGTATTTGTATTTATTCATGTGTACGTATCTGTACGAAACATGTGATTGATAGCTCGTGCTGGGGCCTACTGATCTAATTGTGGGAACAGGCCAGATGTAGAGGATAGATACCACTTTTTAGAGATTTGCCGGTGAGTCTTCTTGACTCGTAAGCTTGAATTTTGTTGTGACGATGTTACCCTCTTTGCTCTGATGATGTCCGTCATATGACGCACGAAAGCTTAACAACTTTTCATCGGAATCTAAGCAGATTGCCTCGGCAACAGCGTCAGCATGAATCTTCCAGTAAAGCCAATCGACAGCTGGTCAAGAGGAATCCGTTGTCGTCTTTGAACCGACGTTCGAATCTCTTCACCCAACACTTCTACTCGAAATGGAAGTAATCCCAACAATTATGAAACGAGAGATTCCTTGAAACCCAACTTTTCTTCGTATATTAGCCTCTTTTGATCACACTGATTTAGGACCGGTATTGTGTACAAACATTAATACACACACACATACACACTGAGACACACACACTCGAGCAAAAGTAGCATAACCGTCCAATATCTAGCTTTGCCTATTCATTTTTGTGTTTAGTTATGAGTATATATAA